TAAATTATAAATTTACCATTCATCCATGCTTTGAATAGTGTTGACACATCTAGCCTGGTGCTCCTGTTATATATTTAGAGATTTTTAATAACATCCAAAGAAGAATCTGCAATGTTATTGCTCCTGACCTGGCATCTCGGTTTCAGTCACTTTGCCACTACCATAACATAGTTTCCCTATGCCTTTCCTATAAACACTTTCATGGTAATTGTTCTAATGAACTTTCCACCATTGTGTCTAGACTTTATGAATTTAAGTGCAGTACTAGATTGGCAGGAAGGTCTCATGATTTTGTAGATGAAATGCCTAAATGTAACTAAGTTCTATGATAGCAGTTTCTTCTGTCGCACTTCTCACTTGTGGAATTTTGCAGATGAAATGCCTAAATGTAACTGTAAGTTCTATGATAGCATTTTCTTCTGTCGCACTTCTCACTTGTGGAACTCACTTTCGGTTTTTTGTTCAAAATTCAAATGCAATGTCAATCATCATCTGTCTTCTTAATTCCTGTTCTTTTATTGTTCTCTCTTCTTAATAGTGATTTTTTTTTCTCATATTCACTAACACTCAGTAAACTTCTTGTATCTTAGTGAGTTTATTGCCTTGTTTGTGGTAAAATGATAAAAAAAAAAAAAAGCAACAAATTTGTGGGAAAGTTTTAGCAAATAGTGAGTAAATATTGCATTAAAAATCCTATTGAGAATAACAATGATTTTTCAAGATAAACGTTCAACTGTTTAACCCGCAGCTGGGGAGAATGCTTTACTCTTGATATTTGTCAGCTTGGAAAAATATTGATTTTATTTTTAACATTTTAAAAATGAGTTCTTTTCATAATATAAATACACTGCCAAATCAATTTCTGACTTTTTAAAGAGTTATCTGTACTTTGTTTTTATTTACAAAGGTCAAATTTAAAACTGCATATGGTTAAGAAAAAGGACATTGTCAGGACGTTTTCATTTTCATTTTGCAGGTTAGTATACTGGATTGATGTTGGCGGAGGACATGTTCCGAAAAAGATTGCAGAAGTTAAAATGGATGGAAGTGATTCCCGGATACTGATACAAGATAATCTGAATGACCCTGGTTATCTAACAAAAGACCCCAAAGCAGCAGTCCTCTACTGGTCAGAAAGCTATTTAGGGAAGGTAAGATTTTCTGTTTTGAATGACTCTAGTTCTCTAACAAAAGACCCCTAGGAAGCAATCCTCTACTTGTCAGTGAGCTATTTTGGGAAGGCGGGACTTTTAGTTTTGAATGACCCTGGTTATCTAACAAAGGACCCCGCAAAGAAGCAATTCTTTACTATATTCAATATTTCCCAGTTAAATAAAAAGACAAACAATCCCACAACATCTGCTTTGATAAACAAAACTGTTTTCTTTAGATTTCTTATTCCTTACTTTCTTCAAAATGATTTATCAAGATTTAAATTATTTAGACTCAAACTATTATCCTTATCTTTGTTGTTATTCTCACATTTTCCACCCTCTGGATTTCTCCATATGCTTGTTAATTGAGACAACTTCCATGGTGTTTCAGATGGAATCTGTGGGAATAGATTGTTGTTATGCTTTCCATTTTCTTATTCAAATATAAATACTGAAAATACGTCTTGGCTTGTCATTTTGTGCTGAGATGAAGTGGGAAGATTATATTGAATCCATTGCTAGGTCTGCTGCTCAGAAAGTTCGTTCATTGTGTTGTACTAGACATTTTTTCTCTCCAGAATCTATCTTACATATTTATAAGTCTACCATTCATCCATGCTTTGAATATTGCTGCCACATATGGTCTGGTGCTCCTGCTATATATTTAGAGATTCTTGATAAAATCCAAAGAGGAATCTGCAATGTTTCTCTGCAGAATCTATCTTACATATTTATAAGTCTACCATTCATCCATGCTTTGAATATTGCTGCCACATATGGTCCGGTGCTCCTGATATATATTTAGAAGTTTCTTGATAAAATCCAAAAAGGAATCAACAATGTTTCTCTCCAAAATCTATTTTACATATTTATAAGTCTACCATTCATCCATGCTTTGAATATTGCTGCCACATATGGTCTTGTGCTCCTGCTATATATTTAGAGATTCTTGATAAAATCCAATGAGGAATCTGCAATGTTTCTCTCCAGAATCTATCTTACATATTTATAAGTCTACCATTCCAGTGCTCCTGCTATATATTTAGAGATTCTTGATAAAATCCAAAGAGGAATCAACAATGTTTCTCTCCAGAATCTATGTTACATATTTATAAGTCTACCATTCATCCAGGCTTTGAATATTGCTGCCACATATGGTCTTGTGCTCCTGCTATATATTTAGAGATTCTTGATAAAATCCAAAGAGGAATCTGCAATGTTTCTCTCCAGAATCTATCTTACATATTTATAAGTCTACCATTCCAGTGCTCCTGCTATATATTTAGAGATTCTTGATAAAATCCAAAGAGGAATCAACAATGTTTCTCTCCAGAATCTATCTTACATATTTATAAGTCTACCATTCATCCAGGCTTTGAATATTGCTGCCACATATGGTCTTGTGCTCCTGCTATATATTTAGAGATTCTTGATAAAATCCAATGAGGAATCTGCAATGTTTCTCTCCAGAATCTATCTTACATATTTATAAGTCTACCATTCCAGTGCTCCTGCTATATATTTAGAGATTCTTGATAAAATCCAAAGAGGAATCAACAATGTTTCTCTCCAGAATCTATCTTACATATTTATAAGTCTACCATTCATCCAGGCTTTGAATATTGCTGCCACATATGGTCTTGTGCTCCTGCTATATATTTAGAGATTCTTGATAAAATCCAAAGAGGAATCTGCAATGTTTCTCTCCAGAATCTATCTTACATATTTATAAGTCTACCATTCCAGTGCTCCTGCTATATATTTAGAGATTCTTGATAAAATCCAAAAGAGGAATCAACAATGTTTCTCTCCAGAATCTATCTTACATATTTATAAGTCTACCATTCATCCAGGCTTTGAATATTGCTGCCACATATGGTCTGGTGCTCCTGCTATATATTTAGAGATTCTTGATAAAATCCAAAGAGGAATCTGCAATGTTTCTCTCCAGAATCTATCTTACATATTTATAAGTCTACCATTCCAGTGCTCCTGCTATATATTTAGAGATTCTTGATAAAATCCAAAGAATAATCTGCAATGTTATTGCATTCCCACTGTCCTAACATAGATTCCCTCTGCCTTTTCTATAAATACTTTCATGGTAATTGTTCTGATGAACATTTCACTATTGTATCTCGACTTTATGAATCTAAATGCTGTACTAGATTGGCGGCAAGTTCCATAAATTCTATGCTGACAGTTTATTCTATCGCACTTCTCACTTGTGGAACTCTTCCAGCTTCTTGCTTCCCTATCAAGTTTGATCTACAGAAATTTAAATGCGTTGCTAATCAGTATCTTCTGTTTTCTTAATTCTTATTCTTTTATTTTCATCTCTCCTTAATAGTGGTTTTTTTTTTTTTATCGCATATTCTTGTAACTTAGAAAAGGTTACTGAATGAGGAATAAACAAAACAGAGGTAGGAAATGAAATGGTAATCTTTATAACATCAACAAAATATAATACTCGCGAGCAGCATGAATAGGTAAACCACTGCTAGTGGTGGACTACTTAGACAGCATATTACCCCCACTTACAATAGTGTCCAATGTATTCATGAAAATTGGAACATACCCATTAGTTTGGTATATAACAATTCTCTAACACTCGGTAACCCCTTGCTTTTTAACAACTTTATTGCTTTGTTTGGTGTGAAATGATTAAAAAGATAACAAATCCAGGTTGAAATTACTTATACTTTATTTTGCTAAATAAAATATTCACCTGGCTACCTTCGATATTTGAAGCCTTATATAATACTGTCTGTAATTTTCTTAGTTATGCCCATCATCCTTTTTACCACACTTGTCAATCCAGGTAACCCTGAAAAAATTTACCACCTGAAACCAATGATTTATGCATTTTGAGTATTCTTATTGTTCTGTCCATTTCTAGCTTGTATATTAATTTTGGTAGAAATTACCTATGCTTTATTTTAATATTGTTCTCCTCTTTGTTGTTATTATTACAACGTTTTGACTGAGAGATAAAACATGCCTGACTTGTGTGTATATCTGCTTTTGTAAAATCTGAAAGCTTTCCTTTTCAAAGTCAGAGAGAAAATATTTCTATATTTTGTTAGCAAGTTCTCTTTTTAGAAAGGGGATTTTCATTTCAATTCTTCCATCTGTTAGACATCTTTATTTCTCGATATTAAATGTTTGAATAAATATCTGTATCATTAGCAGATATTACCAAAGCCACTCAAATATACTTGATAAACCCAATACCACTTTTTGAGCTCAGAAAAGTGAGTAATGCCAACCAGTTACTTTTTTTTCATTTTCCTCTTTTTGTTTTACTTGAATCAAAATGACCAACAATACATTTTATCTGTAGTTGAAGGCATACAATTGCATTCAAAATACATTTAGATTTCGGCATTAAATAACCCATAGAGGTGTTGATATGCCGCTAAACAAAATCAACCAACTAACAATTCATATTTAAATCAAAATGACCAACAATACATTTTATCTGTATTTAAAAGCATACGATTGTATTCTAAATATATATAGTTGAAGTAGTAATATCAATATTATCTCCAAAAAATTCATACAATCTAAAAATATTTTCTGTTTTTATATGAAATGTAAAGGTTTGATAATCTGTGAAAAACAAATCAATTAAATTAAACATTAAATCTTAATCTCTTCAAGAATTAATTCTTGTCAACCCTCTTTATCCCCATAATCTTCACTTTCTCCTATTCCAGCCTACATTTACATCACACAATTCATTCAGTAAGCCTCTATCTTGGGTGGCTCTTGGGTCTTTTATTATAAAAGAAGATTGCAATCTAAGCTCCAGGTTGTTGTGCCTCTGTCCTTCTCCTTGGGAACATGGTCGTCGTTTTTATCTCTCTCTCTCTCGGTTCTCACAAAAAGAGTTCCCTTATCTTTGTCAATTTAGCCTCCCACTGGTCAGAGGTCAATTGTATCATTTCTTTCATTTCAGATAGAGCGCTATGACATTTCCCGAAATCGTCGTGAAGTAGTACTGGAAAATCTTGCCAATCCATCTGGTCTTGCGATCTATAAAGGATTTCTCTACTATGCCCAATACGACCGTATGTCGATAAGTGTTATTTCCTTGACGGCATTGGAAAATGGAGGTGTGGAACTAAAAAATCATATTTATAAGGTACAAAATGTGAAAGTCTTCTATCCAAGAGATCTATCAAGTAAGTTTACTTTTGTCTTTGTCAGAAAAATAGTTAACATGATAGTTTAGGTCAGGGTTGTCCAGCCTTTTTGCCAAAAGGTCCAAATCAGAAATTTAGGTATATTCACCAGGCCACAAAAGAACTTTATAGAAATATGCTTTTAAAAAGTACAAAACGTTGTGAATATCAAATTTTAATAGCAAATATATATATATGTGAAAAATATATAGAAAATAGGAAAGAACTCATTAGGTAAATAATCCAAAGTTCTTTAGTATTTTTGTTATTATTTTTTAAAAAATAATGCTCAATACAAAAGTAGAGCATAAATATAATTATTTATTTAAAAATATGATTCCAACACGCGTTCTCATGTTTCAAAACAAGAGCTGAAAACTTCAATATAATTATTTGAATTAAATTGAATTAAAGTACTAAGCTCCATTCCATCTTCAAGCAAAATTTTTTTGGGGGAATAACTTATTTCTGAAATTTACGCGTTTTATAAGCATATTCATTATTGAAATCAAAATTTCTATGGTAACGCCTAGAGCAATTGTTTAAACAAAAGGGGCGTAAGGTGTTAATAATTTGTATCAATATCTCAGTTACATTCACAGATGTCAAGTCAGGGTAAGGTTTAGGTGTCTAAATTTAAAGCGGAAGATGACATCATCTAGTCTGGTTAAGCGTTTATGGAGATTTATTTATTTTTTTATTTTATTTTTTATTTTTTTCTGAAGGGGTTTTGCGTATATAAAAAAACTGTCATAAATCGCTAACATTTGTTTTTTGACGACTTCATAAAGGTTATCTTTTTTTGTAGGGCATTTAAACTATTTATTAGGACTATGGAATTTAAAAATTATTTTATTGTTTGTTTGTTTTTATGCTAATTATTCAATGCAAAAATTTGATGATATCGGCAAAAAACCGTTAACTCCTGTCTATTGTTTAGTAGATTTTATTATTTAGAAACTTATATATATATATATATATATATATATATATATATATAATTAGAAAACAGACAACCTTAATGGTCCATTGATTATATTTTATTTTCCCAGGAAAATGTTTTTTCCTGGTTCCTCAGATCACATTTCCAGGGGTAAAAAATGGTTTTAAATTTACATATTATTGTTTTATACACTTTTGAGTGGTAGTTTTAAATTGATGTAAGGTGATAGAGAGAGGGGAGTGAGGAGGATGACAGATATGGTTGAAATTCGAGAGGGAAGGGAGAGATACAAATAATTTTAAATCTATTTTTATAAAGATACTTAAGAGTAAGGGAGGCGGGTAAGGACCAGACATTGACCTATTTAGTAAGTCATTTCACAGGAAATGAGACAAAGAGAAAAAGAAAGAGAAGTGAAGATATAATAAAGCAAATGTGGAAGCAGGGGCGGGAGGGGAAAAAGTGGGGAAAGAAGAAAAGGAAGAATAAATTAACATATATGGGCATATTGCAGTTAATTTGAAAAACACAGATTGATATATATTGCAGTTAATGTTTGACATTAATGTAAAAATTTTAAAATTATCAAAATAAAATAGGAAAAAATATGTGAATATAAGATAAACAATAAATATTAATGTTATTAATAACAATTAAGAAGTAAAAAATTTATAATTAAAATGTAAAATTTCAAAATTTAAATTTTGAATCTTAAATTCATAATTTGAAATTAAAATATAAAGTAACCTAAAAAAATTTTTTTTTAAATATATTGAAAAAATTGTAAAGTAATATCAAAAAACATTGGGAAAAAAGGGGTATAATATCAAAAAACATTTAGAAATGAAACGATTTAAAAGTAATAAAAATATTATTTTTATAATATCATAATAGTAATAAAAAACCACCAATGAGAGGTATAATAACATTAATATTTGTTCTGGTTTGACATTGAGCTATCTGGATTACATCCTCCTTGGGATAATCCATATGGATAACCAAACTTATCATTACCTAACTAACTATACATATATATATATATATATATATATATATATATATATATATATATATATTTTGTTAGATCCATTCAATTACCCATGTTTCAACGTATGGAAAAAAAAGAAAAAAGATTTTTTGTTAAATTTCAGAGGCATTAAACTAATATTAGTTTAATCTGCATAACTTCAGACCACAGTTTTTATAATAAATCGTATAACTTCAATAAAACATGTTGAAACTATCTAAAAAATTAACTCAAGATTTCTTTTGACCTCTAAATTATTTAAAATCTGACAAAAATTGTTCAAGGCAAATTTCAGTTATTGAGGTTTATGCAGTTTGTATAATAACTTGAGATGAACAGTATATTTAAAAATATTAAATTTTATTAATTTACATCAACTATTATGATAAAAGATCAAAATGAAATTCCTTAGGTTAGGGTTGTCCAGCCTTTTGTTCCATATGAGCCAAATTAGAAATTTAGTTATATTCACCAAGCCACAAAAGTACTTTATATAAATATGCTTTTAAAAAGAGTTCAAAACATTATTAATATCAAATTTGAATAACAAACATATATATCACTGACAAAACTAACCTGACCGTACGTCTCGAAAAGGACCTCCAATCGGTTGTGAACTGGGGCAAGAATTGGCTGGTCAACTTCAACGCTTCTAAAACAAAACTGCTCTGTATTAATCACCACAAAGATCCTTCCCTGCCCTCCATTAGAATGTCTGACGCTCAACTTCTCAAGAGCAATTCTCTGTGGCTGCTCGGTCCCACGTTGACTGCTGACCTGAGATGGAATAAATACATTGAGTCAATTGCCTCGTCCACCGCAAGGAAACTTGGCTCGCTGTGCCACGCCAGGAAATTTTTCTCCCCGGAATCGATCCTCCAGATCTACAAATCAACAATTCGCCTTGCATGGAGTATTGCTGCCATATATGGTCTGGAGCCCTTCTGTTTGCCTCGGGGTTCTTGATAGGCTCCAGAGGCGGATATGCAATGTGGTTGGCCCTGCCCTGGCGTCTCGTCTACAGTCACTTTCTCACAGATGTGCCGTCGCCTCCCCGTCTGTTCTACAAACACTTTCATGGAAATTGCTCCAAGGAGCTGCATTCACTGGTTCCCAGATGTCATGAGTTCAAGCGCTCTACGAGGCTGGCATCCCGCTCTCTCCCCTTCACTGTCGAAACTCCTAAATGTAGCCGTCTCTTCTACTCCAATAGCTTCATGTCTCGCACCTCTCGCCTGTGGAACTCCCTTTCCTATTCCAGTTTCCCTGAGAGCTATAATCTCCAGCTATTTAAGTGTAATGTCAATCGATATCTCCAGTTGCCTTGATCTATCCACTACCCTCCTCCTCATTTTTTTTTCTATCTGATCTTGCTCTAAATTTTCTGTAACCCCTTGCATCCTAGTGGCTCCCCGCCTTGCTTGGAGTGAAATGCTTAAAAAAAATATATATATATATATATATATATGTGTGTGTGTGTGAAGAAATATAGTCTTAAGGTGTGCTATATTTATGGGATAAAGTGTCCAATATCAGAGATAGTGTGTGTAAATATAAAAGTGAACATTAACGTCAAAACTCAGAGAAAACAGGCTGTTTCATGCTAGACACAATCGTCAGGCCTGCTATCAAACTCTTATTAGAACAGTGGTTGAAAGTATTCAGTAGCTTCCTTTGTAAGTTATTTGTTTCTGAGAATTTTCAATAAATTGATTTGATTTTTTTCACTCTATCTCAGCTTCCCTGCTATGGGTTAATTAATCATTATTATCCACCCCCAATTCTTACTATCTAAATATATTTTCTGGTTTTGAATAACCTACAAAGGGTTGATAAGCCATAAAAAATCAATCAATCAATCAGAAGCTTGTTTTCCAAATAACATGTTAAATGTAGTGCTATTCTTAACATGGTTATTCAGATGAACAATTCTATTTTCTACATATAATGTCTGTATGCATGTTCAATACCCTGCTCTTGTCTGCCACCAACCCTGGGAGGTAACACAGTTTCAGTGTATGAGGCGGTATAGCCACCCCTGGCACCATCAGCCATTTTTGCCACCAGACATGGTATTGTTTTCATAGATGTGTCAATCTCTTGCAATTTCTTTTTACAACTGCAAATGAGATTTTCAATGTTGTGTTAAAATCATTTGCTATTGCTCGTTAACAGTACACAATGCACTGGTAGTGACAGTTATTAATGATGTTAGAATGGAAGGTAAACCGATGTGTTTCACGCCAGAAGTAGCATTGTTTTGTGAGCAAGGTATTATTTAACTTTGTCTATTTTGGATGTGTTTGGTATTTTTTCATTTTCTTCTGTTTGTTGTGTCACATCTGGATGTGGGCATTCATAGCTCTCCACAACTTCCTATCCTTCATAGCTCCAATCAATGTTTGTCCTCTCACTATTTCCCCTGCCAAGTCTATGTTCTGCCATCTATTTTACACAAACTCATTAGGTAGATTAATCACTGCTTGCTTCCATCCCTCTTGATTTCAATATGTCCTGTGTGTGTTAAATTTTTTAAAGTCCTCTTTCCTCATTATGTGAAATGTTAACTATCTCTTGCTGGTTATGAGTGTATGTTTCTTGTTCTCATTTTCCTGAAAACTTAATTGCTTACATATTCTGTTGATGGCATTCTCAGCATCTTTCTGTAGAATCACATCTTTCTTGCCGTGGCATCAGTAAAGAAATTGTCCAGTATCCACTGTTATATAGGAGAATTGATATTATATTATATACATATATATATATATATATATATATATATATATATATATATATATATATATATATATATATATATACCATCATCCACAGACAGACTGTTTCACTGTTTTACAGCTCATCAGTGTGGCTAGACATCCAGTTGCCTCCAGCTAGGGTCGAAACCCGACTGAACTGGTGTCAGTTGGAGATTCTAACCATTAAGCCATCGGCGCACGGTAGGGAGGAGAGTGGATTTTTAGCGTGTTTATCTTTATAAACACGCCCAGTGACCGACAGTGACTCAATTCGGATTAGCGAAGAGTCTCGCTATATAGCTATAATAGTCACTGTTTACCAACCCACATCTCCTCCCCAGAGAGCTCAACTGAAATTAATTTTTCAGGAGCCAATATACCGTCATCCACACACACACACACACACATATATATATATATATATATATATATATATATATATATATATATATACACACATACACACACACACATATATATATATATATATTTAGGCATGTCTGATTGAATAAATTACAAACATTATGTCTGCTGATTTTTAATAAAATCTGTTCATACTCACAAATAACATGTTAAATGGTTATTCAGATGAACAATTCCATTTTCTACATATAATGTCTGTAAGCATGTGCAATACCCTGCTCACCATGTATTTATGTTAAAAGATGAGAGAAATGTGCTATAGCTGTTTAAATTTCTCTTGTTTTTATTTTCCAAGTACTTTTGATCTTCTAAGATCATCTTCAGCGGTGCAAGTAGTACAAAACTATATGTCGTTCGTTAATATAAATATTTATACAAAGTTGTGCGTCGTTATCCATTACTGTAATTTTTCATTATGCTTTTTAAATGCAAAACGGTTGACAATGTGCTAAGCGTTCATTAGAATTATGGAATTTTTTTCTCTCTAGGTTATGTCATGGCCATGTGTGCATCATACAAGTTCAGCACTCTTTTCTACTTTTTCTCAAAAAGTGTTTCTGTTTCTTTATACTTTGCTTAGCTTTTTTTCTTTTTTTAAGGTTCACCCTGTCCAAGGCCCTGTGGCCAGGAGGCACTCAAGGTAGAAGGTTATGTTAGGAGGCAGTTTGTACAGATAGTAGGGAAAGATAACTGCTTACCTTAGACTGGAACAAAATATGATTGTAGTGATCAGAGAAAACATCCACTTTGGTCCTACAGAATAGTGGTTCACAGGACGAAGCTGTTTGAGGGGAAATTACTTCTCACCGATGGAATGCAGGGGTGGCGATGTGGGTCATTTGCTACAAGTGGCATAGTGGATCTTTGCCATGAAGGTTAGGAACCAAGGAATGTAGTTTGAGCACTTTCCATGAATGTAGCAGTAGAGAAGAGTGTGAGGCTTGCCACACATCGTGCCTGAGGTTGGAGAGGTGGGAGGCATCTTCTGCTATTCCAATCTGCCTACCAAATTTTCCATCGTCTGTTAAGACTTTACCACACTAATTTCTTCCTAGAATTGTTCTCTCTGTCAACGATATTCCGCAGAGTTACAACCAGTTTGGCATTTTAGCAGTAGTAATTGACTGGGTAGCAGGTAATTGACTTTAGGAAGCATCTTTTTTCAGGATGTCTCTATCTCATAACAGTTCGTCTGTTTGTATGCTTCATAAACCAAATTTTAGAAATAGGATGGAGATGACGAGAATAAAATTTGATATGTATGCATAACTTTCCAACACCCAATTTCCTTATTTTTTTGTAAACTAGAGACCGTTTCTTTTTTTAATACTACTTACCTTTTACTACGCTGATATCTAGAGTTGTCTCCCCTGTCACTGCATTTTTTGTGAGGGCACAAAAACATGAAGTCCGTCTGTTTTAAATTTGTTATAACTTTATTTGTATTGTGTGTATAGATTTTATTTTTTGCACACTAATAAAAGAATGGATAAATAATATGTTGGCGTAATGCATTACATTTTGCATACATGTTTTGACATTAAAACAAAAAAAAGTTGAAGGATAAAATAAAAAACAAATACATTAACAATTTAACATACTTTAGCTTTTATTGCTCCTTGTGAAGTTCTGGGGGTGAAGTAAGAAGCAAAATGTCTAAAAAGCTTTCATTTCATAAAGCAGTGACATGCTTCCTTTTGTTTACATACGTGCAGACACCAGTATTTGTTGGCTCTTTCTTTCACCTATCATATTTATTTATCTTGTTGACAAATAAAAAATATCGTTTATAAATAGACAAAATAATTCACCTTAAGAAAAGCTATTAGGAATATCAATGGTTATCAATAGCTTCCATAAAATTAGTCAGCCATGGATGATAGTAGCCGCTAGTAGTCATCATTGCTTTCCTCCACATCACTATCATATTCAACCACTTCACTGTCAATATCCGCTTGAGTAAAGTCTTCAAAATCATCATCGGTGTCTGAATCAAAGAAAAACTGTTGAATCAAAGCTTTGTTGGATGTTGATACGGCCATTTTAGTTTACTAAAAATTGTGAAAAAGTTAGTGTAGTTTTAATCGATGTTACACCTAATATAGAATTCAAAATGGTGTCAGAGAACTAGTTTAACCTTGTTCCAAAACAGTAGTAGGCGATTTCCAGCTTAAAATACAGGAAATAATAGTTGACAAGTCTTTATCTATAGCAACATCTTTGGCTGTTCTCTTGCTGACAACCAACTGATAGTTAATCCTTTCTTCTCTCTTTCTTTTGTTACTTTATTTAGGACTTCCTGCAGTTTTTCTTTTAAAGATCATCAAACAGGCAGTGATTTGTTCAACACGTTTAAAAAAAAAAATAACCTCTAAAACAATTTTTCTTCTGATTATAGATGAAACAAATCCATGCAAAGGAAGTAATTATGGTGGCTGCCAACAGTTGTGTCTCCCCAATGGATTGAACTCCCATACATGTAAATGCAACACTGGCCTTACCAAAAATAACCAAGGAGAATGCAAAGGTAAGTAATTTGGTTTATTTTGTTTAACGGCATATGAACCTCTATGGGTTATTTAATGCCGACAACATTTTTAGGATAGATTCATATGAATAGAATATGTATTCTTTGGTTTAGATTGGTTTGGTTTATTTTGTTTTACGGCATATCAACCTCAATGGGTTATTTAATGCCGACAACATTTTTAGGATAGATTCATATGAATGGAATATATATTCTTTGGTTTAGATTGGTTTGGTTTATTTTGTTTTACAGCATATCAACCTCAATGGGTTATTTAATGCCGACAACATTTTTAGGATAAATTCGTATGAATGGAATATATATTCTTTGGTTTAGATTGGTTTGGTTTATTTTGTTTTACAGCATATCAACCTCAATGGGTTATTTAATGCCGACCACATATTTAGGATAGATTCGTATGAATAGAATATGTATTCTTTGGTTTAGATTGGTTTGGTTTATTTTGTTTTACGCATATCAACCTCAATGGGTTATTTAATGCTGACAAAATTTTTTTCTTGCTGGTAATATTTTGTTTTGTCAAAATCTGTTTCTGGTAATATATTTCCTTCAAAATTGTATTGTTGGTAATAATTTTTTTTTTTTCAAAAGCATTGCTGGTAATAGTTAACTATTTGCCCATAGCTGGGACCCTAACAGGTGCTACCACCCCGGGTCAGGGTGGTCCTGGGAACACCAGCAATTAAGAGGTGGTTCCATGCTCCTCAAAACCTCCTGATCAGAGGCCTTGCTGCTAGATGTAGTTTAACGTCTTACCCGGGACGCGGATGTAATTTAATGTCTTACCTGGGACGCGGATGTAGTTTAATGTCTTACCCAGGACAAGCAAAGGTAAGCTTCAAATTTTAATTGGTCATTTGTGAATGAAGTTATCTCTTGCTCACTTTCGTTAAGCTGCAGGCCAAGATGTATAAACGATTGGCAGTTGAGTGACACTTGATTTGAAGAGTTAAGCCGTTGCAAGGGACACTTAATAGAATAATTATGATTCAAGCAATCCGATACAATTAGATTCACAAGAAACAAATGGGATTCAAACAAATCTTTTTTTGTTTGTGTAAATTGCTATAGCAGGTACTATTAAGATTGGCCTTATATATTCAGTAAACCCCACTACCATGAACAGAATCTGTGATACATGAAGGGATTTTAAGGAGAATAAAAGCTTTGAACAGTTGCTAACAATTTGGCCGACATAATGATAAAAGAATGTGTTCCACTGGGCTTAGGGTGGCTGCCAAAAAAGTCAAAACAACACAAAGCTGACATGTGACATAGTAAACTTAACAATTTCATTCAAACTTCGTTTTGCAGCCAGAATTCTTTAGTAGAACCGGAAGTGCTTACAATCATCATAATCAAGAAGATAACAAAACTCAACTCAGTACATTAATATATTGCATGGGAAGCAAAGCCCAAAACAGAAGAAAGAAGTCAAATTTTTCTAATTTTTGTAAAATAAAAGCGTTTAACTTTGGAAAAAAAGAAAGGGAAAGTTTGAAAAAAAAGCTGTCTCCTTCATTTCTTTATTCCTTTCCTTTTTTTTTTTTTTTTTTGGTCACAGAAACATTTAGACTGAAATTGACAAGTGGCAGTAAAGATCACAGAAGTGGAAATAGGAATACATTTTTTATTATTTACATTATTCGGACCGTTATCTTCATCTTCATTGCCATATTCACAATGTTTGAACATTGTACACTCTGGCCTTCTTCAGGTGATTGGAATTTCGAACCCTTTATTTCGTTCACCAGGATATATTGTTCTAGTTCCACATGCCATGCCTCTTCCAGATGTCTCAGTTATTTCCCTTTAACTGAACTGAGTTTTTTGATTCACCACTGCTGTAGCCTGGTATTGAATTCACAACTCTTTGGGTCTAGTCACTGGATCTAACTGGGCCATGTAAAGAGGGCCGGAACATACAATGGCTGAACCGTGAATATAGCAATGAAGATGAGGATAACAGTCTGAATAATGTAAATAATGTAAGTAATCATAATACCTCATCTCAGAGATATAGACAGCCATTATATCACTAGAAACTAGTCACTGGATCTAACCAACATCTTTATCCACTGGGCCATGTGTCCTTGTGAATATGGCAATGAAGATGAGGATAACAGTCCGAATAATGTAAATAATGTAAATAATCATAATACCTCATCTCAGAGATATAGACAACCATTATATCGCTAGAAGCTAGTCACTGGATCTAACCAACATCTTTATCTACTGGGCCATGTGTCCTTGTGAATATGGCAATGAAGATGAGGATAACAGCCCGAATAATGTAAATAATGTAAGTAATCATAATACCTCATCTCAGAGATATAGACAGCCATTATATCACTAGAAGCTAGTCACTGGATCTAACCAACGTCTTTATCTACTGGGCCATGTGTCCTTGTGAATATGGCAATGAAGATGAGGATAACAGTCCGAATAATGTAAATAATGATAATACCTCACATCAGAGATATAGACAAATTTTTTATTGTCAAGTATATAGTCAAACATTAAAGAGTAGAAATTCATTTAGAGTAGAAGTTCTTATATCTGAACTTCAGCGTCCTGGGTATGACGATAAACTACATCCTCGTCCTGGGTAAGAAGATAAACTACGTCCAACAGCAAGGCCTCTGATAATACGTTTTTGAAAAAAATAAATAATGTTGCCAGCTGTACATTTTTGAAAAAAAATATTATTACCAGCTATACGTTTTTTCTTTTTTTTTTTAAAGAATGTTGTTACCTGCTGTACGTTTTTGAAAAAAAAAAAATAAAATAGTAATATTACTAGCTATACGTTTTTGGAAAAATAATATTACCAGCTATATATTTTTGAGAAAAAAAATATTGACAGAAATAGATTTTTGACAAAACAAAAACATTACCAGGAAAAAAAAAAGTTGTCAGCATTAAATGACCCATTGATGTTGATTTGCCATAAACCAAACCAAACTGAACTTCAGGTATGAGGATGGGTTCGGATATAAAATGGCACATGTAATATAATTATAACTCAACAAAAAACAAGAACAAAATAATGATAATACATAAAATAAAACAAGTAACATTAAAACTTTTTTAAATAAAATAATATAAATAAAACTAAAATAAGAAAATTTCTCCCAGCATACCATTTATCAGCACTTAGCTTATCATAAGGTGAAATCACATTATCATTTGTCAATAACAGGTACCGGCTCTCCAATTCCTCAATCCGAGCCGCTATCCATTACTCTACCATGCCTTCTCTGCAATAGTATTCTTCCTCTATTACATGCAAGCTTACAACTAAAATACACACAATAGTACATAAAATGATATTATTTTAATTAAAATTTGCTTTTAGTTTTAGTGTGAACACAAGGCTATTACAGCTGGTATCTTGTGCGTGACCACACAATGTCTCTGCTTGTCAATTAAAACGTTTTGCACACACAGTTTTAAAACTGTATGTTAACAACATAGATTCAATGTTTAAAAAAATAAAATATCTATGTACTAATTGCAATCAATTTCTCATTCATTTGACAAATGATTCATATTCAGTTACCAAACAAATATATTAGTTACATTTTAATTTAAACTGATATCATTGTTTACTTAGTATCGATCAACAACAAATTCCTTTTACTCTCTCTTAAATGTTATTGGATGGTTTGGTGCAATATATTGTTTTGCATGGTAAACTTCAGTTGCACCCCTGGGATGCACAGATGGAAAAGTTACTGTGCATCCTCTAATATTTTTATGCATCAGGGACACAGGATACACACTTTTGTGATGTTGGATGGATTCGCTTGTCATTTTTGCTATGTCAAGCAAAAGAACATTATCAATTCCAAAAATGCTTGTTATATTTGGGACTTTGTTGATGACGGTACTAGTAATGTCTCCCAATAATATCCGCACTAGTAATGCTTATTCAAGTAGTAATTGCCAAATAGTGTAATGATCAAAAGAGAATCATAATCCATATATTAGTAGAGAGAGTGAACGTATAGCAATTGTGGATAGACAAGAAGAGTGAACAGTTAGTCATCAAACTGCTTCCTATTTATTCACTTCTTTTTTGATCACATGATCTACTTAATAATGGAATCACCTGTGTTACTCACTGCTGATCTAGTTTCAAACCACAGCATCAGCAACATCACTTACTCTTATACAACACACACCCATCAGTATCTTTGTGTATATTAAAACTCAGGAGGAAAGGGATTGTCAGTGGTCAGGAATGAATGCAAGCATTACTGATAGAATAGGGCTATTATATGTATAACGGAAATGCATTGCCAATGATTTTACTATAAAAATGCATTGAAAATCAGGAAGAAAGGGATTGTCAGTGGTCAGGAATTCAAAACTCCCTGACAGAAAAAGGACAATTTCATAATTTTCATTTTTTTTTTTTTTTTTTTTTTTTTTTTTGTAGCTGGTACATCATTTTTGATTGCAGTCATGTACAATGCTCTCCAAGGTTTCTCTTTGGAATCAAATGATCACCCAGAAGCCATGGTTCCACTTAGAATGCAGGGTAAGATATTTTTTGCATTAGCTGCACCCCCTTTTGATGTGACATTATTGACATATTTTTTATATTCATACTTTTTCACCTTGTCTTTGTTGTTACTCACATTTCAAATGTTGTGTCCTCAAACTTTCTTGAAATGTTTGTTAATCCGGGTAACTTTCAAGGTATTCAAAACTGAGCCTTACCCAGAAAGTTAGCCTGATTGAAAAACACCTGAAGAAGACCTGTGGATACAATGGATGAAATGAGATTCACCTTCAGCAATAACTGGCTGCCAGCCTGCTAAGTTGGCTCAAGCATCTTTTTGTTTCTTCAACACCAACAGAGTGAACATGATAACAAAGCATCCTTAAATACTAATATATACTAGTGTCATGGACAAAATAGACTTGTCTTATGACTATATTATGCCTCGCAAGAGAACTGTAGACAGAAGGCGAGTTGACAACTGTACTTAGCCATCAGACGGACATGCAACACTTCTATATTCATTCTTTTTGTTAATAATATGTTTTCACTGAATCGCTGAGTTCGAGTTTTCTTTTGGACCTCTTCCGGGTCCACAACATATATATATATATATATATATATATATATATAATATATATATATAATGTGTGTGTGGAAAAAGTTTACTTTGTGATGTATTTCATGCTTTGTGACTTTATCGGACTAAATTTGTAATGTTAGTACAACTACACATACACATGAACAGGATGTGCTGGAGATTTTAGAATTTAAAGAAATATTTTGTTTTTTTTTTTTCTTTTTATATATCGAGCTGAATTCATTTAGATTCTTTTTCTTTTCATCACTTTTGTTAGTAGGTATCCCACACTATGATAATAGATCTGCCATATCTAAGTTGGTTTCTTCGTATCTCTCGATCTAACTCGGCCCGTTCGTATCTCTCGATCTAACTCGGCCCGTTCGTATCTCTCAATCTAACCTCTCTAACTCTGTTCATATCCATCTGTTTCTTGGCCTGTTCATATCTATCTTTCTCAATCCATTCATATCTCTCTATCACAATCTCTTCTTGTCTATCTCTGTCTCTCTGTGAATGTCATGTGTGGGGGAATTTAAAATTGATTTAAATAGAAATATGTTGACCTCATCATTTTTGTCTTCCTTGAAAATACATTGCAACTGAATAATTTCTTTTTTCAACCTGTTAACAATCAATTTGTTTCTTTTACAGATCACTTCATTCATTTTGTGGATACCTATAAGAAAGAAAATTACATCTTTGCGGCCTCTATTGACAAAGGCATTATGAAATTCAAACCTGATGGAAGTAAAATGGAGACTGTTATTCCACAGAATAGCAACCAGTTTGGCATTTTAGCAGTAGCAATTGACTGGCTAGCAGGTAATTGACTTTAGGAAGCATCGTCTTTTAGGATGTCTCTATCTCATAACAGATCGTCTGTTTGTATGTTTCATACACTAAAGTTTAGAAATGGGACGGAAATGACAAGAATAAAATTTGATGTGTGTGTCTCTTTCTTCTTTTTTTTTTTTTTTTTGTAAACTAGAGTCTGTGTCTTTTTCTAATACTACTTAATAAGTGTGACGTTCTCTAGATTGAAGATATCAGTGCCACATTTTCTATCGTCTGTTAAAACATTTCTTAACCTTTACCATGCTAATTTCTTTTTAGAATTGTTCCCCCTGCCACAGCCTTTTTTTTTTTTTTTTTTTTTTTTTGAGGGTCACAAAAACATAAACACCTATTTTTTTTTCAAAATTGTTATAACTTTCTTAGTATTGTGCGTATAGATTTTAATTTTTGCACACTAATAAAAGAATGAATGAGTAATATTTTGATGTAATGCATTACGCTTTGCATGCATATTTTGATGTAATGCATTACGTTTTGTATGCCTGTTTTGATGTTGAAAGCAAAAAAATTGAAACACATAAAAAACGAAATATAAGAAAATACATAAGTCAACATACTTTAACATTTATTACTCCTTGTGGAGTTTATTTATTACTCCTTGTTTTGCTTCTATATATATATATATATATATATATATATACACACACACACACTACCAAGAGTTTAATACAAATTTATATTAAATCCAAATTAATCGTACAAATAGAAAGATAAGCCATATATGGTGCAACACAGTTCAACTAAAATCTAAGAAAAAGCAATTGTCAAATGCAAAATCTAAAATCATACACACTCACACACACACACATACTACCAAGAGTTTAAGAAGCAAAATCACTAAAATGGCTTTCATTTTGTCAAAAAAGTGACATGCTTCCTCGTGTTTACATAAGAGAAGACGCCAACGTTTGTTTGCTCTTTCTTTTACCTGTCCTATTTCTTTGTCTTGTTGACAAATAAAGGTATTATTTTGTTGTTTATAAATAGACAAAATAATTCACCTTCAAAAAGGCTATCAGGTATATTGATGGTTACCAGTGGCTTCCATAAAATTAGTCAGGCATGAATGATAGTAGCCACTAGTGGTCATCATTGCTATCCACCATGTCACTAGCGTGTTTATCATCTTCGACCACTTCACCATCAATATCCATTTGAGTGAAGCCTTCGAAATCATCATCAGAGTATGAATCAAAGAAAAACTCTTGAATAAAGCCTTTGTTGGATGTTGATGCAGCCATTATTTTTACAAAAACTTGTGAAAAAATTAACGTGGGTTTAATTGGTGTCACACCTTGTGTAGAATTTAGAAGAATTCAAAATGGTGTTGGAAAACAGAAGTTTAACCTTGTTCCAGAGTAGTGCAACTGTCTCAAGCTAACAGCATGAGTAGCAAAGGGAGAGAATTCTACAGTGACAATTTTCGCCTCCAATGTTGGAAAGATTAAATGACCTAGCAATTTACTTGTGTCTTAATAGCAAATCAAAGAGACCTGACAAAGTAAACCTGGAAACTGCTCTTGAAAAGGACCTCCAATCAGATGTTAAAAGGCTTCTAAATTTTAACATCTCCAAAACAAAACTGCTTTCATTTAATTACCACAGAGAACCTTTTTGGCTAAATTCCACTTTTTTTGACTTCATATCTTCCACTGACATGAAATGAAGTGACTGTATAGAATCAGTTGTCATGGTTACTGCAAGGAAAGTTAGTTCACTGCGTTGTGCCAGAAAATTTTTCTCATCAGAATTCATTTACCATTTGTCCATGCATTGAATACTGTTGCCATATTGGAAGGATGACATAACTACATGCAAAGCTAAGATTACTTCCTTCCATATGAATATATGGAAATTTCTTGAAGTGTTGAAGAGGGAGTAAGGTACTGACTAACATCACCCGCAATCAGAAGCTTGCAGAAACAATATCAAGATTCAATAGTTAGAATAGCAAATATCATATAAGAACTACCATCTGTTGGACTTTTTGAGATGTATAGCCCATAATTTGCAATTTTAGTTTTATAATTATACTGATATGTATTTTATAATTTGATAATGTAAAATATAAAAATAGATTATTGTAATTACTAATTACTTTTTTTTTATAAACATTAGTTTAACCAGACAGTTATTAATTATGTAATTAGTAATTATTGTATTTGTGTATAGCCTACAATTTGTGGTTGGTGCTAGTATAGTATGATATCTAATTGTGGAAATTGTGGAGAGCCATGATCGCCTATGTCCTGAAGGGACACGGTATATAGAAGAAGAATGAGCTTGAGTAAATGGATGGTGGAACAAGGTTTAGGAGAGATAACAAAAAGAGAAAACTCATTAAGAGCTACAAGGGACAAGAAGATGTGGAGGGCCATGGCTGCTTACATCCTGAAGCTGAAGATTTACCTCACACTAACTCCTTGGAAGAATGGCATAGTGCATTTCTCCTGATATAAACAAAGATATACAATCCTCTAATTTGTTCCAATCAGAATTCAAAGCGTTAAATCTTTTTACTGTCCTAATAAAATTAGTGCCCCAACTATAATTTTGCTAAACATTTACTGAGAACCCCCCAACCTTTGAGAGTATACAGCACCCCAAAAGGAACTCACCCTTTACACTGTCACTGTTGAAAATTGTTTTTGTAAATTTTGATAAATACCTATTTTTATTTTTTTCATTCCACAGGAAATATGTATTTTAGAAATGCCGGCGTTAAAGAACAAGTCCTTGAAGTCAGTCGTTTGGATGGTACTCATCGACTTGTAATCCTTGAAGATTTGTTTCGCAGTATCAATGGAATTTGTGTAAATCCAATAAAAAGGTAAGCACATTTCACTGAAACAGGTAAGGTCTCTTTTAAGACCAGGATTAAGACTTGACATTGGCAGTCATCATGCAGGGTTCAGTCACACAAAAACACGCACATGCATATCATCATCATCATCATCACCTTGACTTTTGTAATTGTAAGGGGGGTTCGAATGCATGTCACACTGACTCTCCTCCACAGCAGTCTATCAACGGCAGCCATATATATATATATATATATATATATATATATATATATATATATATAAACAAATATATGGATATAGATCCGACAGTATGAAGAAAAATATACAGAAAGACAAACAAAAATCCTAATATGCAATTATGTTGTTTTAATGTTAATATAATGTCAACGTCGGACGTTTCAGTCTAGTAGACCTTCTTCAGGACATATTTATAACATAATTAATATTAGACTATATTCAATTCAACATGAAAAGACGATGGACATAAGAGTAAGACTAATCAAAACAGATAACTGAAATTTTTGAAGATCAGTGTTCCGTTTCACAATATGATCACGTCGGCGATGTTGTGAAGACGTATTCCTAAAATAGAGTATATTTTGAATGAAAAATGAAAAGAATTTTAATCTAAATTGCATATTAGGATTTTCGTTTGTTTTTTCGTATATTTTTCTTCGTATATATGTGTGTGTATATATACATATGTGTGTATCTATATACATGTAAGTGTATATATATATGTGTGTATGTATATATATATATATATATATATACACACACACACACACATATATATCTCCAAGTAAGATGAGAATGAATAAAGTACAATTTCAACATTCATAACATTTATTTTAAAAGAGGGCTCAATATAGAGTAGAGCAAAATATTTATTTTAGGATATTAAATCAAAAACATGTCAAAATCACTCTATAATTGCAGTCATGTTTCCAAGCATATCAAATGCATCTTGTTATAGACAAGCGTATGGTTGCAAGAAAGAAATACGACAACAGCAGAAATAGATTTAGGTGATTTATTTCAACAGGAATGTGTGGGTTTGGGACAGCTATCTTGTGGTATAGTTCATAAGCCGGCTTCAGATCTGGGTTGATCTCTCATAGTAGTTCACACTGGTTGGCGCTGGCGCTTCCCCTGCTGACTGCTCAGCCTAACCGTGACAGGTCTCTTCCCTGGCCTCCTGTTGACTGCTTGTTGTACTTCCATGTGACCCCTTTTATGGCATTTTTTCATGGCTTAACAGGCTCGAAAAACGACATGAGTATAATTAGGAGGGAAGCATTTTTATTGGTCGAAAAATAGAAACACTTTAAAATATTATTTTATTTTTCGACTGAAACTTGTACGTCGAGAACGTGCGTAAATGAAGATAATGGTCATTTTGTGACGGGGCCTTGTCCCATTCACATCCGGCTCTCGCTCTTGAGTATGTTAGTTTATTTGTATTTATCTAGATTTAAAAGAAAATACAACCACTTTTACAGAAAAAAAAAAAAGTGTGAAAAAAGTGGGGGTTACAAGGTTTGTGATCTTTACTCAGATCGACCAATCAAATATGACCTATGTTAAATTTAAACTAAGCAAAGAAGAAAAAATTAAATTATTTTCAATCAATGGGTCATGACCTGTAGATTTAGCAATCAAGGGTAGCACAGACATCAAACAGAAACAGATATTAATGGATACATTTTTTAATACTCTAAACAGTTTCATTTCCTAAGAAAAATCAGATGTAGCAGTAATTTCACAAAAGTTTAAACAGGTTATATGCTTTGTGAGTTTCATAGATAAAAAATTTTTTATAGTTGATAAATAAACAGCTCCTTTAAGAAATCAGTAAATAATTTAAATGTATAGAATTATTTGATAAAATAATATGCAACTTGACTAAAGATTCTTTATATAAGATGTTAATAACAATAACCAATCAATGCAAAATGTCAAAAATACCAACCAAATACCAATGCTTCTGCACTAGATGTTACTAATACTACAAGGAAATTAATACAAAATTTCTTATCAAAAAACCTGATAATTTCCAATTTTTCATGTAAACACAGTTTACATAGTTTACCTTTTACCTTACAATTCAATTAGATTTTGCATTTGACAATTGCTTTTTCTTAGTTTTTAGTTGAACTGTGTTGCACCATATATGGCTTAACTTTCTATTTGTACAATTAATTTGGATTTAATATAAATTTGTATTAAACTCTTGGTAGTATGTGTGTGCGTGTGTATATATATATATATATATATATATATATTTTTATGAATAAAAATGACAATAGGAAAACTGGTAATTGCTGATGCGTTTCGTCAATGTGGACTTTATCAAAGCAAAATAATTTATTTTGCTTTGATAAAGTCCACATTGCACGAAACGCCCAGCAATTACCAGTTTTCCTATTGTCATTTTTATTCATAAATATTGTCTTCTACTGATTAAATCAGAGAAATTTTCATATATATATATATATATATATATATATATATATATATGCATGTTTCATTAAAAAACGACAGACAAGGTACTACAGTTAAGCTTTTTATTTAATTTTTCTTGTGTTTGAACAAGAGCTTTCTTTTCTGGACAAAGGGTGTGTAAGAACTGTCCAAATGTTTTATATTTCCGAGCACTTTCGGCTATACCTTTAGCCATTATCAAGGATGATTCGATTTTTCAGTTTGAGTGTGTGCATTCTGTGTATGTCTTAGTGTGTGGTAGGGATGTTTTTAATTTCCGAATATAGTTAGCACATTGTGGCTTTTTTTCTTTTTTATTATTAAAGCTTGCATAAAGGAAGGATTGCTGCCTAAATACACAACCATATATATATATATATATATATATATATATATTTTTTTTTTTTATTTTTTTTTTTTTAAGCAAATCATCCCAAACAAGGAGGGAGTGCCACTAGCATGCAAGGGGTTACAAAGATTTAGAGTAAGAGTAAAGAGGAGTGTTTGGGAAAAAGATAAAGAGGACAAAGATCAAGGTCAAGGCCTCAGATGTCGATTGACATTACATTTGAATATTTGAAGATTATAGTTATCAAGGAAGCAAGTGATAGAAAGGGAGTTCCACTGATGGAACGTGCAAGATAAGAAGCTGTTGGAGTAGAAGAGATGACTACATTTAGTCGTTTCGACAGTGAAAGGGTGAGACTGAGATGCTAACCTAGTAGCATGCTTAAATTCATGAAGTTTGGGAAACAGTGAAAGTAGCTTGTCAGAGCAGTTGCAGTCAGCACCCTGACTCCAGAGTTAGGTAGCCAATTGGGTTCCGATTTTCTTATTTTCATATATATAGTGTCATGGGTATTTCTCCTTTGCCTCCTTATACCCTTGCTTTATTCCTTTTCTCTTTCGGCTCATATGTACTGACAATTGTCAAAGTGTTGTGGAGTTATTTCGCAGTGGAAGCTTGTATTTGTACTAAATCGGTCCTAAAATAGGTTCGGCGTACAAAACGTTAGGAACTTGATATAATAGGTATTATGCAGAGTAATCTTGTTGTGGTTGCTGACTACTTTCGTATTCAACTAACTGCCGACTACTGTCATCCGACATCGACTGACCCTCGTTTCTCTTACTACTCCTAATTAGGTGGGAGAGTCTATTAACTATAGAATAGGTGTGTTTCACCATAACACAAAGGTCACAATTGCCACCATGATTATTATGATTCGAAAATTAAATGACTACATTTTTATTGACGACTGGTCAGTGCCAAATTAGAAATATCTTCTATTATTTTTTTTTTTACAGGTACATTTATTGGACTGCAGTTGGAACAAAGCCAAAGATTGAACGAGCTAATTTGGATGGTTCTGATCGTAAAGTTCTTATAAGAACTGGCATCAAATATCCTGTGAGCATCACTGTAGACATTCTCACACACAGTGTCTACTGGACAGATAGCGTCATTAGTGCAGTCCAGGTAAATCCTCAATCACTTAAGTGCTATATGTTGTTGTAACCTAAGGAAGGCTACTGAATAGAATAATCACACGATGGTTGGTAATGAGCGATAATACTTAGGACAAGAACAATACATATAAGATTCGCCAGCGGTGCGTAGAAGAAGTAGTCAACTACTAGAAGTGAGTCAAGTGAATTCCACAAGGAATTTCCAACTGCAGACCAACATACAGTATTACAGCATTTATGTGAATTATCATCCATAGGTATGCTACAACATATGTGATATATAATTGGGCGATCATGTCTCTTTCAAATCATGACTGAGTAATCAGAAGATTTTCCTGCAGTCGGTTTCCATTTTTTTCTCTAGTAGACTGATTGCCAACCAAGGCTAGAGGTCTGTACTGCTATTTAACCTATAGCTTGGTGGGGAATAAGTGATGTATTCATACCTTTCCCATGCTCAGGAAAAAATACCTTTTGTTTTCAGCAAGGTTAGGTTTGGTTTGTTTTGTTTTATGGCATATCTACCTCAATAGGTTATTTAATGCCGACAAAATTTTTATTGCTATAATATTTTTTTTCAAAAAGATATAGATGGTAATTTTTTTTCAAAAATGTATTACACTTTTATAGTGTTTTTACCACAGTTTGGGGATTAACTCTTTACCTATAGCTGGAACCCTAACAGGTGCTACCACCCCAGGTCAGGGTGGACCTGGGAACACCAGCAATTAAGAGGTGATTCTACACTCCTTAAAACCTCCTGATCAGAGGCCTTGCTGTTGGACGTCGTTTATCATTTTCATTTTACCCAGGACGCCGATGTAGTTCATCGTCTCACCCAGGACGCCGATGTAGATCATCGTCTCACCCAGGACGCCAATGTAGATCATCGTCTCACCCAGGACGTCGATGTAGTTCATCATCTCACTCAGGATGTCGATGTAGATCATCGTCTCACCCAGGACGCCGATGTAGATCATTGTCTCACCCAGGACGCCCGTGTAGATCATCGTCTCACCCAGGACATCGATGTAGTTCATCGTCTCACTCAGGATGTCGATGTAGATCATCGTCTCTCCCAGGACGCCGATGTAGTTCGTCGTCTCACCCAGGACGCCGATGTAGATCATCGTCTCACCCAGGACGCCAATGAAGATCATCGTCTCACCCAGGACGCTGATGTAGATCATCGTCTCACCCAGGACGCTGATGTAGATCATCGTCTCACCCAGGATGTCGATGTAGTTCATCGTCTCACCCAGGACGTCGATGTAGTTCATCGTCTCACCCAGGACGTCAATGTAGATCATCGTCTCACCCAGGACGCCGATGTAGATCATCGTCTCACCCAGGACGCCGATGTAGATCATCGTCTCACCCAGGATGCTCAGCAAGATTAGATCTATGGTGGGAGCATTTGTCATCAAAACCTCTACTAACCTCCATTAGTAAATGAGAGGGAAAATGAGTTTGAAAGTGACAAATTATGTCTTACTTGATACTTTTATTTTGGAGGTGTTAAACTTAACAAGTCACTCTTTGCCCCCAGTTGATTACAGACTGAAGGTTGTTTATGACTACAGCCTCCAATTTGATGTTAAGGACCTGATCAGATTTGCTATCAAGACATGAGTATATGGTTGTGTCGTCAGCAGAGATACCAAGTCTGAACCGACTGATTTTATTGTCCTCTTAATAGGGAAAATTTTACTAATTATCCATTAGTAAAGGAGAGAGAGGAAGGAAATGAGCGAGAAAGTGACAATTCATATTTTGCTTACTACTTCCTCACAGTTTCAGGCATGCATGTTTGATAAGACGTAAAACTTCTCCCTGTAGGAAAAGGTCCTTTTTGTAAGGAAATCCCTTGCCTTCACCCTGATTTATAATTCCCTAATTATGTTCAACAACATAAAAAGGTACACATGCCCAATACATCTGTTTCGTTAAATGAAACTGTTTTCTACTGTTTCTTAACTTAGCACGAGAACTCGGAGGAGTAATGTATAGCAGCTCGGATTGAGGAATTGGAGATCTGCGTTCAAATTCCAGTTGAGTTTCTTACACTCACATGCATGCAAATACCCTTGAGAAAGGTATGAATCCATCTCTTCTCTCCCTAGCAACTGGGTCTTATAGCGTTGAGTGGCAAGTGGTCTGGGTAGATGGACAACTCTGAATTTGAAACCCCAAATATAGATTAAAGAACTTCTTCAACCTTCAATAGACCAAGCATTGTGAGTATGGCAAGACCCATGAAGACATGGGCAATCAGGAATGGTTTCCACCAACAGGAATGAGTAGGCTGAGGATTTGGATGATCTTACCATTTTTTCACCCTTTTTGTGACAGCTGGTACCAATTTGTGAATTGAAACTTGAAACTTTTTTGCAATATGATGCTTCAGTATAACTATCTGCTGACCCCATAAAATATATAATCCTATAACTATCCGCTGACCCCATAAAATATATAATCCTATAACTATCTGCTGACCCCATAAAATATATAATCCTATAACTATCCGCTGACCCCATAAAATATATAATCCTATAACTATCTGCTGACCCCATAAAATATATAATCCTATAACTATCTGCTGACCCCATAAAATATATAATCCTATAACTATCTGCTGACCCCATAAAATATATAATCCTATAACTATCCGCTGACCCCATAAAATATATAATCCTATAACTATCTGCTGACCCCATAAAATATATAATCCTATAACTATCCGCTGACCCCATAAAATATATAATCCTATAACTATCTACTGACCCCATAAAATCACTGACGCTTATGGCTACAAAACATTGAAATACTGGTTCCCTTAAGATCACTGAAGTTAAGCAACATTGAGCCTGGTCAGTACCAAGATGGATGACTGCTTGGGAATACCAGGTGCTGTATGCTTGGATGTGCAGGTGGTGTAATGGATAAGGGCTCAGAATTTGAAATCAGAGAGCTGAGTTCCAATTCTTGTTGGGTTCATTATATTCACTTATGTGCAAATATCCTTGAGAAGAACCTAAATCCACCTCTTCTCCCCCCAGTAGTGGGTTAAATAATAAGACTTGTGTTGCTAAACGATTATAATCTCAAAAAAATAATTTTTTGAATCTAAAGATATTTTCTAGCTTTAAATTACCTGCAGTGGCAAAAAAAACAAAAGTTATTAAGAGCTATAAAGGAGAGGAAATTGTGGAGAGCCATGATCACCAACATGATTATTTGGTACAACATTATTAACTTTCAAATAATTTTCAAAACAGAAGTGTAATTTATGAATTAGTTTTATATTTAAGATATCTTTATTTTTAAAAAAGCTAGAGACACCAAGGACATGGCATCAGTGTTTATTTCAAGTCTTTGTCGTTTGATATTTTAAACTAGATTTCTTTAATGAATGGATAAGCCTTTTTCTTTTACCTTCCTTAATGGATTTAAATCAGTCATTGTCAAACTTTATAAATAAATAGTAAATTAAAACTGTACCACAGATATTTACATATAACGCCGAGCATTTATCACAACTAAGGCTTAATTCTGCAAAATGTTTAAATTTATCAAACTATGGCATTTTAGCTAATATCTTTTGACAGAGAAACAGTTGTGTAAGTAGAAAGGAAAGTGAATGTCTGTTAGTAATTATTAAACGGTAACTGGAATTCTATATAAATCTCAAAGTTTCTGTTTTTGAATGCTTGTCTGTTAAAGACCTTGATTGGTAAATCTTTTTTATTATTTCACCCCCAAGCAAGGCAGTAAAGCCACTAAGATGCAAGGGGTTACTGAGTGTTAGAGAATATAAAAAGAAACATAATAAAGGAGAGAGAACAATAAAAGAACAGGAATTGAGAAGACAAAAGATAAAAGTTGATGTTGCATTTAAATTTTGGAAGATAAAATTTGAATTGGAAGCAAGAAACCAGAAGAGAATTCCGCAAGCGTGAAGTATGAAAGAAAATACAGCATCAGATACGGTAAATAACATCTGTATTTGCTGGGGTTTTTCCTTTTTTGCTATCTTTTTAATCAAAGACCTTTTTTTTTTCTTTTTCTTTATTTTTTTTACGCAGCGTATTTCTTACAATGGAGGCAATCGGGAATATGTGCGCGGCAACTTAGTGGCACCTTCTGGAATTGCGGTCTTACGTAATAATGTGTACTGGTCAGACTATTCATTGCGCAAGGTAATATTCTTTTTTCCAATCCAAGTTCATATCTTTAAATGAATTTCAAGCAATAGAAATTCATTAGAGCAAAGTTAATATAAATGGCTTAAAAATCCTGCCTATGATATCAATTGTATAAACAATTTGATTTATATTCTTTTTGTTACCTTTTTGGTTTTAACTTGTGGGTTATCTCCACATGGAAGAGAAATACATTTGAGAGAGTGAAATAAGTGAGAGAGAAAAAGAAGAGAGAAATACATTTGAGAGAGTGAAAGAAGTAAGAGAGAAAAAGAAAGAGAAATAAGTGTGAGAGAGAAAGGAGAGAGAAATAAGTGTGAGAGAGAAAGGAGAGAGAAATAAGTGTAAAAGAAAAGAGAGAGTGAAATAAGTGAGAGAGAAAAAGAAGAGATACATTTGAGAGAGTGAAATAAGTGAGAGAGAAAAAGAAGAGATACATTTGAGAGAGTGAAATAAGTGAGAGAGAAAAATAAGTGAGAAATAGAAGAGAGAAAGAAAGAGAAATAAGTGTGAGAGAGAAAGGAGAGAGAAATAAGTGTGAGAGAGAAAGGAGAGAGAAATAAGTGTGAGAGAGAAAGGAGAGAGAAATAAGTGTGAGAGAGAAAGGAGAGAGAAATAAGTGTGAGAGAGAAAGGAGAGAGAAATAAGTGTGAGAGAGAAAGGAGAGAGAAATAAGTGTGAGAGAGAAAGGAGAGAGAAATAAGTGTAAAAGAAAAGAGAGAGTGAAATAAGTGAGAGAGAAAAAGAAGAGATACATTTGAGAGAGTGAAATAAGTGAGAGAGAAAAAGAAGAGATACATTTGAGAGAGTGAAATAAGTGAGAGAGAAAAATAAGTGAGAAATAGAAGAGAGAAAGAAAGAGAAATAAGTGTGAGAGAGAAAGGAGAGAGAAATAAGTGTGAGAGAGAAAGGAGAGAGAAATAAGTGTGAGAGAGAAAGGAGAGAGAAATAAGTGTGAGAGAGAAAGGAGAGAGAAATAAGTGTGAGAGAGAAAGGAGAGAGAAATAAGTGTAAAAGAAAAGAGAGAGTGAAATAAGTGAGAGAAAAGATGTAGTTTGTAATGTTGATTCATTTTATATAAATGTGCAAAAAATAATTGACAACCAATACTAATGAAAAAATATTGTCATTTATGAAAAATTAAGACACTTTATGAAATGTTTAAGACATAATGAAATGTGCAAAAACACTTACAATCTGTAAAGTAAGAGAAAAATAAGGATATACAGTAAAACTCCTCTAAACCGAACATCCATGATGTTTCGTATTGAGGGTGATGTTCTGATTCGAGGAAGAAAAGGCTTCATATTTATGTCAGGACAAAAGCTCGGATTTGAAAATAAGTCTAAATTTGAGGAACTCTAAGTTATGCCTTGTTCAGATTTGGGATCTCCATCAGATGTTTAGATCCAAGAATGAAATGAATGTTCTAGTTCCACGTGCCATGTCTAATGGATGCCAGTTATCTCCTGATAATTCCCCTCTCAAAGTTCTCCACCGCCTTAACCAGGTATTGAACTCGGACTCTTTGGGTCCCGTCACTGGATCTAACTAACGCCTTTATCCACTGTGCCCCAGTGAGCGAAATAAAGGGTCCAGTTCGACATTCCAACCACCTGAAGAAGGCCGGAAAGTACAATGGTCAAAATGTTGTGATAAACATGGCAACAAAGAGGAGGACAATAGTCCAAATAATGTAAATAGTGTACTTTATGGAATGCTTAGAAATTTATGAAATATCTTATTGAAAAACAATTATAATCAGTAAAGTAAGAGAAAAATAAGGATATAAAATACAAGTCCTCTAAACAGAACATCCATGTTGTTTGGTATTCAGAATAATGTTCTGAATCTAGGAAGAAAAGGACAAAAATTCAGATTTGAAGCTGAGCCCAAATTCAAGGAAGTCTAGATTATGCTATGTTTGGATTTGGGGAGTTCTACACTGTGTGTGTGTGTGTGATATAATGAAATATGCATACACCTGTGTTCCTCCTCACTGGAATATGATTGGCTGGTGTCCGTCATGAATACAGACGGACATGTAGGTACGACAGAGTTTAAGTCTATGATGATGCCCATTGGACTACACCATTGGCTATTCTATTGGTCTACACTTATTACCTGCGACTACGACGAGTACCAGTCGATTACTGCTACCGTGTACTACTTGGTTATAGTAGCCAAAACCTACTTAGCTACTTCGATCAAATATATCCCTTTCTGGGACATATCAATATATACATATACATACACACACACATATATATATATATATATATATATATATATATATATATATATCCATAGCTATGATATAATATCACCATGTTGCATTTGTGTTACATTATCATATTACCATGTTGCAGTTACATAATTAAAGGATAGTGATTACACAATATTAAGCAATGTCAAGCCTGGTCAATACCTACATGGGTGACGTCTTGGGATTAATAAGTGCTGTAAACATGGATGTGCAGATGGTGTAATGTGTAATGGCTCAGAATCTGAAATCTGTGAACTGAGTTTAATTTCTGGTTGGGTTCATTACGTTCACTTATGCAATCATGAATCAAAAAGAGACATAATTGCCCAAGCATGTCATATCCATCCCTTCCAACATGCAGGCTAGGATGGTAGTATAATGGGCCATTCATCTCCTGTGAATCTGGGTAAGGCCGACGTTCCATAAAAGACTTTCACAAGCCGAGAAGTTATATTATAGCATCAATTACATTTTGACAATCGTTGCTTGCATAAATGGTTTTGTTTAAATTCTTTTGTTTCCTCTTAGATTTTTTCTGTACCAAAGAATTCCAAAGTTGGAGCTCCAGCTGTTATCAAAAGCAACTTAATGAATGTAGATCGTATTGCAATTTTTGATGCTGCAATTCAACCTGAAGGTAAGTCTTGCAAAATCATAAACTGATTTCCCTACAGTAATTTTCTCACCACAGAAACATTTATAAAACTACCAGTTGTCCTGGATTTGAATATTACTGCCACATCTGTCTGGTGTTCCTACTATATATTTAAGAGATTCTTGATAAAATCCAAACAACCTGAAATGTTACTGGTCCTGAGCTGGCATCTCAGCTTCACTCACTTTTCCTCCATTGTAATATGAATTCCCTTTAACTTTTCTAGAAATATTTGCAGGGTAATTTTTCTGATAAATTTTCTTCTTTGGTACCTAGACTTGACAAATTTAAGAAAACTTTTAGATTGGCAGCAAGGTCTCATCATTTTACACTTGAAATGGCGGCTAAATGTAACCGTAAGTTCTATGCTATTAGTTTCTTCTATCGCATTTCTCACTTCATACTTCCCAGTCAACTTTGATCTTCAAAAATTTTCAATGCAATATCAATGGTTATCTTCTGTCTTCTTAATTCCTCTTCTTTTATTGTTCTTTCCCCTCACTAAAGTCTTCTAATTCTCTTTCACTCTTCTTACTTTCCAGTCAACTTTGATCTTCAAAAATTTCAATGCAATGTCAATGGTTATCTTCTGTCTTCTTAGTTCCTCTTCTTTTATTGTCATTTCCCCTCACTAAAGTCTTCTAATTCTCTTTCACTCTTCTTACTTTCCAGTCAACTTTGATCTTCAAAAATTTTCAATGCAATGTCAATGGTTATCTTCTGTCTTCTTAATTCCTCTTCTTTTATTGTCATTTCCCCTCACTAAAGTTTTCTAATTCTCTTTCACTCTTCTTACTTTCCAGTCAACATTGATCTTCAAAAATTTCAATGCAATGTCAATCGTTATCTTCTGTCTTCTTAATTCCTCTTCTTTTATTGTCATTTCCCCTCACTAAAGTCTTCTAATTCTCTTTCACTCTTCTTACTTTCCAGTCAACTTTGATCTTCAAAAATTTCAATGCAATGTCAATCGTTATCTTCTGTCTTCTTAATTCCTCTTCTTTTATTGTCCTTTCCCCTCACTAAAGTCTTCTAATTCTTTCACTATTCTTACTTTCCAGTCAACGTTGATCTTCAAAAATTTCAATGCAATGTCAATGGTTATCTTCTGTCTTTTTAATTCCTCTTCTTTTATTGTCCTTTCCCCTCACTAAAGTCTTCTAATTCTCTTTCACTCTTCTTACTTTCCAGTCAACTTTGATCTTCAAAAATTTAAATGAAATGTCAATCGTTATCTTCTGTCTTTTTAATTCCTCTTCTTTTATTGTCCTTTCCCCTCACTAAAGTCTTCTAATTCTTTCACTATTCTTACTTTCCAGTCAACGTTGATCTTCAAAATTTCAATGCAATGTCAATGGTTATCTTCTGTCTTTTTAATTCCTCTTCTTTTATTGTCCTTTCCCCTCACTAAAGTCTTCTAATTCTCTTTCACTCTTCTTACTTTCCAGTCAACTTTGATCTTCAAAAATTTCAATGCAATGTCAATCGTTATCTTCTGTCTTCTTAATTCCTCTTCTTTTATTGTCCTTTCCCCTCACTAAAGTCTTCTAATTCTTTCACTATTCTTACTTTACAGTCAACGTTGATCTTCAAAAATTTCAATGCACTGTCAATAGTTATCTTCTGTCTTTTTAATTCCTCTTCTTTTACTGTCCTTTCCGCTCACTAAAGTCTTCTAATTCTCTTTCACTCTTCTTACTTTCCAGTCAACTTTGATCTTCAAAAATTTCAATGCAATGTCAATGGTTATCTTCTGTCTTCTTAATTCCTCTTCTTTTATTGTCCTTTCCCCTCACTAAAGTCTTCTAATTCTTTCACTATTCTTACTTTCCAGTCAACATTGATCTTCAAAAATTTCAATGCAATGTCAATCGTTATCTTCTGTCTTCTTAATTCCTCTTCTTTTATTGTTCTTTCCCCTCACTAAAGTCTTCTATTTCTCTTTCACTCTTCTTACTTTCCAGTCAACTTTGATCTTCAAAAATTTTCAATGCAATGTCAATGGTTATCTTCTGTCTTCTTAATTCCTCTTCTTTTATTGTCATTTCCCCTCACTAAAGTCTTCTAATTCTCTTTCACTCTTCTTACTTCCCAGTCAACTTTGATCTTCAAAAATTTTCAATGCAATGTCAATGGTTATCTTCTGTCTTCTTAATTTCCTCTTCTTTTATTGTCATTTCCCTCACTAAAGTCTTCTAATTCTCTTTCCTCTTCTTACTTTCCAGTCAACTTTGATCTTCAAAATTTCAATGCAATGTCAATCGTTATCTTCTGTCTTCTTAATTCCTCTTCTTTTATTGTCCTTTCCCCTCACTAAAGTCTTCTAATTCTCTTTCACTCTTCTTACTTTCCAGTCAACTTTGATCTTCAAAAATTTAAATGAAATGTCAATCGTTATCTTCTGTCTTCTTAATTCCTCCTTTTTTATTGTCCTTTCCCCTCACTAAAGTCTTCTAATTCTTTCACTATTCTTACTTTCCAGTCAACGTTGATCTTCAAAAATTTTCAATGCAATGTCAATGGTTATCTTCTGTCTTTTTAATTCCTCTTCTTTTATTGTCCTTTCCCTCACTAAAGTCTTCTAATTCTTTCACTATTCTTACTTTCCAGTCAACGTTGATCTTCAAAATTTCAATGCAATGTCAATGGTTATCTTCTGTCTTTTTAATTCCTCTTCTTTTATTGTCCTTTCCCTCACTAAAGTCTTCTAATTCTCTTTCCTCTTTCTTACTTTCCAGTCAACTTTGATCTTCAAAATTTCAATGCAATGTCAATCGTTATCTTCTGTCTTCTTAATTCCTCTTCTTTTATTGTCCTTTCCCCTCACTAAAGTCTTCTAATTCTTTCACTCTTCTTACTTTCCAGTCAACGTTGATCTTCAAAAATTTTCAATGCAATGTCAATGGTTATCTTCTGTCTTCTTAATTCCTCTTCTTTTATTGTCATTTCCCCTCACTAAAGTCTTCTAATTCTCTTTCACTCTTCTTACTTTCCAGTCAACTTTGATCTTCAAAAATTTCAATGCAATGTCAATCGTTATCTTCTGTCTTCTTAATTCCTCTTCTTTTATTGTCCTTTCCCCTCACTAAAGTCTTCTAATTCTCTTTCACTCTTCTTACTTTCCAGTCAATGTTGATCTTCAAAAAATTTC